CAAACAATATATAAAAACAAACAAGGGGAAAAAAACACAGAGTTTCTGACTTTTATAATTCACTTGTTCTCTTCACACATGCACTAAAGACGTGTATATGAGAGGACAACGCTGGCGTTATTCTGTCTTTTTCTTATTGACAATAAATCCTACAGTAAGACCAAAATCAACAATGTGCTGGTCCGTCTTTGAATACTTTCCTACTCCCCCACCTTGTCTGTGGCCCATTGGTTCCTACTGAAGGAAAAAATCTTTAAAAAAATGGGTCCCAAATATATTGATTTGTTTTTTTAACAAAAGGAAACTCAGCCATTTCCTAAAACACGTCGGCAGTGTGGTTTTAAGCAACCGTTACTCAAACAGGAGTGCATATTTCTTGAAGACTATTTACAACTGCAGATTAATCAGAATCAGAATCAGAAATACTTTAATAATCCCAGGTGGAAATTATCTAAATGTGTTGCTTTAATGAGTATTTGTGGTAGAGGGATGGTGTACATCAGCTGAAAGTAAACTACAGTGCCCACGTTCATTGTAATGGAGCAACATGTAATCCAGTGCGACTCATCTGTGTGTTTTTAATAGGATGAACCAATTTTTTTCTCTTCCAATACCTCAACTCAAAGTATCTGCTGATACAAACCCCAGTGGTCACCTTTTCCCTCATTTAAAATATCTATAACTCACTGAGTGGATCACTTTACATAAGGTAACTAAAAGCGAGGGATTATAGGTCAACTAAAAATTGATCCGGTGGCCCGCTGTGTCTTCACGATGATGGAGAACACTGAGTTTTATATCAACACTGAGACAAAAACTGTATAAAATGATCGGTTATGTCACGGCCGATCAACTTAATCAGGTCAGTATCGGATTGTAGCATTAGTGGATTTTGTTCTATGTCAGAGGAATAATCACATCAGGCTTTACCCACAGTCAATACTACTAGCATTCATTTGTTGACAATAAGAAAAATACAGAATAAACAGCAGCGTTTACTTTAACTAATTCACACTCTCATCCTTACAGACAGCTAAAAAAAAAAACATTTTTAAAAGAACAGAAAAGGGGGAAAACAGCAGCTTCTGTGGTCACTCAAACCTGACATTAATGAACCATTAGTGATGATCTGTGGGGATACAAAGATTCCTGTCAGTGAGTGAACAGGCTTTCTTCCATTGTTGGCTGGCTTGTTTTAAAAATGAACTATGGCACATTGGTAGGATAATGAAGAGCTCTCTGCCTCCGGCACATTGTTTATTTCAGCGTTAACATGTCAGCACAGACATGTTGCAGACTCACACACTGAACTAACCGGGCTGTATGGGTTTTTTTTTTAAGACCCCCTCCCCATCCAGACGGGTTCAAGGGCCCAACATTTCCCACTCATTGAGTCTGCAGCACACTGAAATATTCACCTTTAAATGTCAAGTATCAGCTCGGTCGTGTTCACCTCGCAGCACCACAACCAACGGTCGCCAACGTCCGTGGAGCGTTAGCAACGTCTGATAGCTTCGCTCAGGTTAACGTCCGTTCCGTCAACGGCTCGAAACCAACAGTGGAAACGGACTTTGCCGCAAGAGTCACACGCAAAACCGGCCGCTTGACAATTAAACTAAGTCCACATATCAGCTGTGAATACACGCAGCCTTCATTGTGTCTCGCAATCAGACTGAGAAACTACATGAATTGTTTCCAGGGCTGACGCTGGGGCCTGCCACCGACTATCACTCAGACTAGCTCTCCCGCTAGCCTAGCATGTTTGACAGGACAGACTCAGAGCAGATTTCAGGGACGTGACTGCCAGCGAGATATTCAATGACAGCGCTTCGGTTTTTAAAACATGTCGCTCTCCTCACTGTGGAAATCGTCCCACTTGTTGAATGAGCGATTTGACGGTAAAATCAACCGACCAAGCTGAGTCGGTGTTTGTTTATGTAGCTAGCCTGTTAGCATGTAGTAGCTAGGAGCAGCACAAACACCCCCGCTCCCTCCCTCCCTCCGCCTCTCCGTCTTTCCCCCGGCTATTCTGGCCGTTACCGACTCCCCGGTGCTCCCCGGTGGACACTCACTCGGCCTCGGACGTGATCGCTGCGGACTCATGTCGATGTTGAGGTCGATTCTCCGGCGAGCTTCTTCATTTTCCTGCTTTAGTTTCTCCTCGATTCGCGACAGCCTCTGTTCCAGCGACGACATCTTGAAAAATTGAGCACCATGTAGTTCCCAGCAGAGCTCTCGACTCCCCTCTCTGGCAGGCAGGCAGGCAGGACCAGCAGCAGCTCACACACACTGACTGACTG